TCATGATAAAGACAAACCCTCCCCACAGCAGGAGAGGCCCATCTCCAGCAGTGTAGTCCCATAATTAATAAAATTAAATCCCAACCCAAGCATTCAACTGCAAGACTTCAAGATACTATAAGTTCATACTGTGAAGATCGGAACAAAAATTAAAAATTTAATCTGTGGTAACCGCGGTAACTACGACATCTAGACGTTGAACATCTCAGTCCCCCCGTGATCATGGGTGCTGTAAAGTACTCGAAATGTCGGGTTTATAAAAATGTATATTCGCGATAATTATATACGCGATAAATTCCGTAAAAACTTGTATTATTTAAATATATTTTGTCATTATAAGTGGCCAGTTTATAAAAAAATTAAGCTTGCATATAAACTACATAATTTTATATTTGCGACTTTAAATTTATAATGCGGTACGGATATGTGCTGATTGTAAAAATTTTGATATTTTTAGAATATCATATTATGAGAACTGTTGTTAGTAAGGCATTTCAAGATTTGAAAATATTTACATTTATGCAACAAAATCAAAACGGCTCTTTATAAAAAGAAAATAACTTGCATTACAATCAATAAGGAAACCAGCAAGGTCAAACCTCACAACTTGAACGCTACACAAATTTCCAATTAGATTCTAAACAATAAATTTAATGAATCAAATCAAAAAGTTGCTGTGACTTTGTAGAAATATATTACTGAAATTCCTGTTTAAACTTAAAAATGTTAAATTCTTCTCCTAATATCGTAGAATCATTTATCACCATCATAAATGGCCTTTGCCCGTATGCAATATACAACTACACATAATCCGGTCTATAGTAACGAATCTTCTCATTCACCACTGTCACCAGTGTCTGAAATGTAAGTTTACAAATTTTTATGATTTTTTTATCGAACAGTCGCCATAGCTTCGTCCGCCTAGCAACATGATGCACTGCATGCATGTGACACAAGTTGGTATCTGGAAAAGAAGGAGCACATTCACCATTACACTCCAGATAATTACTAAGTTGCTATAGCTTGTACAAAAACTATAAAAAATCTTGGTGTGTAATATTTATTAGATATCGTGAAATATTTTTAAATTGTTAACGTTAATTAAGTGGGGGATTCCTATTAAAGTTAATGCGTTCATAATTTATATACACTGTTAGAAAAATTCACAAAAGGCTTTATGTTCTTTTTTGTGGTCTTTCTAAGACGTCACCATGAGACATTCAGTCGGATACTTAACATTGTGATGTAAATAATATTGTACTTAAACTTATTGTTTTTATATCTACGTTACTGAATGCAAAGAGTTTTGAATAACAACATTTCGCAAGTCTCATTCCGCAAATACATTTTGGTGTATTTCAATCATTCACAACGCAATATGAATTTTTGTGATACTTGTAAAAACGACCAGGATGTCTTGCATTAGCTCAAAAAAATTCACGTCCTGGTTATAACTACATTTGACCACTACGCACTGCAGTAGTCGTCCTATGTAAGAGAGACCATATTCACAATCGTCTCTTGTGCTCTCAGGAACAAAGATTTTCCCAAGGTAGCTAACTTTGAAGGATGGTGGTGAGATTCACCGTTTAAATATCGGTTAGTATGGGTCTTTTTTATATACACAATACGACTGATGGTGTTATTAGAATTCCGAATGACTAAAACATCTACGAAAGCTAAAGAATTATTTGCATCTAACTTCATAATGAATTGAATTTTGGAGTTAAGGCGGTCTAAGAATGCAGTAACTTTGTCCGATAGTAAAATTGTGAAGGTGTCATCACGTACCGCTTGTAGAATTTAGGATACACAGGTGAAGTGAGAAGGGCTTTCTCCTCGAATTCCTCCATGAATATATCGGCAACAATGGGAGATACAGATGAGCCCATCGCCACAGCATCTACTTGCATGTAGAACTCTTCCACAATACTCTCCTTCCATAATAGATAGCCAGTTGTGGGGCAATCTCTGAGTATTTCAGCAGATTCCGCAGGCATGTTGTTTTCTTCCAGCTTCCTAGTTACAATTGAGATGCAGTCTTCAATATGTAGGAATGTAAAAAGTGACTGTACATCAAAACTGACTATAGTTTTATTGTCAGTAAGGTGTAAGTATTTTATCTCACTGAAAAAATGGTATGAATCCTTTGTAACGTGCTCTTGTGTGTCCTCTCAGACAGTATTCGTGCTGTGTTGAGTCAATTTATACATTGTTTAATCAATTTGGCTCAAACGTGACAAAAATCAAACACCTCAGTCTCCCCCGTGACGTTGCAAAGTACCCAAAACGTCGGGAATTGAAAAAGTTAAAATTAAACGCGATAAAAAACGTAAAATTTATTTTTAGTCCATGTGTAGTATTCGCGTAAATATAAGAAATCAGTAGCGAAAGACTCAAAAAAAAGTGTTAATACTAATACTATGTATACTTTCATAGTCCAACGGATTAGTAAGCTGAAGTAGCAATGGGCCGGCCATATAGCTCGAAGAACCGATAACCGATGGGGAGAAAGATTCTCGAGTAGCAGTCTCGTACCGGCAGGCGCACCGAATCTGCTTCTCTATATAAGTTTTGTCAAAGCGTCCATCTTTTGCAATCTAGTCTTGCAGAAAGTCCATAAATTGTCAATAGGATTGAAATCTACTAAATTTTCATGCCAGTCAAAGTGCTAATCTACTGGAAAAAGTTTACTTGGCCTCAAGTCCAATAAACAGCCTCAGAATATTTTATTCACTGGAAGTTTGACTAATTGCGCAATATGCGCTGTAGTAAGTGTTGCATCCTCACTTTTACGAAAAAATTTTGGCAGTCTACTGCGAACCTCAAAGTCATGAACTTTTACACCAGACCTTTCTAAATCTTGTCGAAAGTTGTAGTTTATTTTTATATGATACGATTCAGTGTTTTGTAGAAGATACGCTTCATACTTCGTTGGTCTTCCCAATTTACTTTTTCGCTGCACCTGTTGCTGTCTCAACAATGCTTTTCTTTATTGTTTAAATGTGCTCACCAAGCATAAATATATTATAGTATTTAGGGAAACAGGAAAATCACTCAAACCTAAAACACATTATGAAATACCTACATATTTTTGTTGATAATGTTAAGTGCCCTTGGAGCTCAATAATGTTTATCAAAGCAACTAACAAAATGGAGTATCACTGTTTCTCTTGGTATTACTCTTGATGCGTAATTTCAATTATGCCTTCCTTATATCTAAACTTGTCTTAAGTTTTATTCCGTTTTATGAATATTCAGCCACTATGCTATGAAGCCAAGTACTAACCATTCTAGGCGAAATAGGCTAAAGCTTAGAGACGTAAGGTCCTAAAGGACTCGGCCAAAAACATTTGAACTCGATTAACTTTTAATGAAAATTAAAATATTATGTATTTGTATCTAATTCTTTTAATACGGGAAGGCAAATAGGGAGCAATGTAATATAATATAATCAAACAAGCAATATAATATAGCACAATCAATGTAGTATAAGCTTTGGGGGTGACTTTAATCTTTAAAACTGTATTTGGCTACTTTTTTACCGCTCAATAAGCGTTTTCTTTTTTTGAGCCAAGATTATCGTATATTCTCGTAGAGGACTAAGATGTAATGCTTCGTTGCTAGTGTAGGCCTGCGGTTCTCGCTCTTATGTTCTGAAAGTTTATTACCAACCGGTCAATGCGCCATTTCGGTGATACAATCTATCTTATCTGAGAGTAAATGGTTTCACCGAGTAGATACAAAATATTTTGTTTTATCATCCTTCGCTTACTCAATATGTCTCTGTTCATTTGTTTGTTATACTGTTACAGCAAAAAATATAGTTATTTAATACTTTAAAATAAAAGTATTCACTTATAAGTTTAGTTTGTCTTCAATATACTTTATAATTTAATCTAACGCAAAGGCAACTAGCACTAAACAATTCTATTTCAGCCTCTGTTATTGTTTTTACTGTGAAATTCTGGAACTAACTAAAGTTTGGTATAAACAAGTTTTTCGCTGGAGTCGTAACGTAATCCTATTTCCATAAAAACATTTATGTACATTTCTTTATTATGACGTTATCAATGTTTAATCTGTTGAATAAATAGATTATATACATTGCTACTTATATTCCCAATAGTCTAAATGCATTGAAAACTGTAGAAAATAATATTTGTTTAAATATATATATTTTGCCTAATGTTTGTAAAATATTATGATGAAATCAATTTATACATTATCTCTATTGCATGTAAATAAGACAAAGCTTTTCATTTAGTATTAATCTTATACTTGGCCTATTGATTTTTAATATAGTCAAACAACAGATTCATTTGGTGTTGTTAGGTTCACTGTAGTGTAGAACCCAACACCTTAGCTTACAATGTAACATATTATGTTTCTAATTTACAGTAGGATATAAAATACCCCACGACAAGCGGTTTTTATACGTCGTGAGCTAACCGCTTGTCGCATCTAAACAAAATACCCACTAAAATCTTTGTAGCATAACATTATGATCAACATTTAAATCATCAATTGCTTAACATATGTTCAAGTTTATCATTTACAAGTAAAATTATCATTGCAAATGTTAAGTTTAAGCCCTAAACACTTTTATTACATTTATTTTCTGCAACTGGAGCCTCTAAAAATAAACTTTATAAATGCATATATGCATGCTAGCAATTGCAAAATATGTTTGTTAATAATGCCCACGTTTTCACTTGTAACAACCAACTGCTGTGGATTTCAAAACAATTTATTTAAAATATCGTCGCTGTTACATCCACACATACTATATATGACAGCCTTACTGTTAATCGTTGAATACCGCTTATTTAAATTAAGTATTGATTATCTCTGTACCTGTATCTTTCTATTGGTATTTAGTGAAAAAAGAAAAAGCATCTTTAAGAATTTCTTAAATTGACGTCGATTTTGTGGTAAGGCCGTAAATATATACTATCAGTACTACATATACTCTAACTATTCTGGCAATACACCCACAGATTAGACCAAATTCTTGGGAAGCAAGGTTCGAAGGCCAAAGACGTATATGCATCCAAAATCAGCCTAGCTTCCAGAGTAGTTAAAATTGAAAGACAGGTCAGTGAATTTTTATATTCAGTTTATAAAAATTATTTCAGTAAATTAAGTCATATTGATTACTCTATTAGTCTTACATCATCATCATCATTGCAACCTATCGAAGACCACTGCTGCATACAGGTTCCCCACATTTCCATAGTTGCCACGCTTGAGAGGCGGGTTGGCAACCGCAGATTTTTTTATTACTTTGAGTGGCTATAAAGAAGGTCCTGCAGCCCTTCTCTTATTTTAATTTCCCTCTGTTGCCTCTTACGACACCGCGGGGGGATATGAGGAAGTGATTCCCTTATTCCCTACCACACTCTGAATTTGAAGACAAATAATTGAGAGAGAACACTGAATAAGTAAATTATTAGTCAGTGATACTAATTAAGTCAACGGGTAAAAATTTATTTTGTCATTCTAATGTTCCCCGTCGCCCCGTATCGCTGCTGCCGCTAATGTTACTTGGACACAAACACTTCGTCCCATAATGGAAGGAATTCAAAAAGTTTAGCATGTAGATTGGCAGAAGCTACGGCTTCTACCACCTTCTATTACCCATCAGGATTTTATATTGGTAGTATTTTGAGGAAGTTTTTCCATAAATTACCGGACACATTTTTCTGTTCCTTTACTAAATGCATGTTCCGCTAAAACAAAATTAGTTTTTACATGTAAAATTAATGTAAATACCTTTATTTGCAGGTAGATGACATAGAAAGTAAGATAGATCATTTATTAGAGATGTATGAAGAAGATAGAAAATTAGTGAGAAGAATCGACAACAGTGCTAACGGTGGAGCAGATAGCGGGGCGTCCGGAGAAGCGACACTGCGAACGCGACCGGCCATCGCAGACAAACAATCATCGGAGCCCAACTCCCCCGTGTCCCGTACATTCGAGCCATCCGGCGGCGGCTCTGCCGCGCCCGCTCCGCTTCATAAACGTCCCATGAACCGGGGCTATTCTGATTTAGGGACGAGATTTATGCGCAAGAAAGTAATTGTAAAGTAAGTTGTAGTAATAGATAGAAATTGTAACCTATTACAGTCTTGGCTACTAAAATACAAAAATGTTGTAAGTTTATATAACGTGAAATAACAATTAGTAAGATGGTCCAATCACCACAAATTCTACGGAATAGTCTCACAATAACACTATCTCGTCTTATAATATAATAATTATTAATAAAGTCGTCCTCCGAAAAGTCTTATGCATTCCGCATGTTTTTTCAATACGAAATACTGGAGTATATATACCATGTGGATCGAAAAAACCTTAAGGGCCTATACTACCTCAAATGGCTTAGCAGGATCCTCCGTTATGCCGAAAATATCGCAGCATTCATTTTGAAATAAATATATGGTAAAGTTGAGGATTAATGTTAAGTACTTTATTAGATGAAAATACTATTCCGTCAAAATTTTCGATAGAAAAATAATCCAAAGTTACCTCCAAACTGAGCAATAAACCGCTGGTATTAATAAAATACTTTAAATTAGATCATGAAACTTTGCATACTAACGGAACTAACTATAAAGCGGGGCTTATGTTTTTTATTGTTTTTTATTACCATTATTTTCACTGTAAAAAAATTACCTAAGCTATTGGTGTCCTGAACCTTGTTACCTGCTACCCGATCAATCTCGCTTCGGCTTTCGAACGGGAAAATTGTGTCGCTTACGATCATTATACGCATACGCATAAATAGGACGACGTAAAATTAAAATGGGAAATAACCGTAATAAAATTAAAAAGCGTCTGGGTTGGCGTAAAGAAACAGGCATAAATATGATAAACCTATTGAATAAGTATCTAACGACCTATCTACTTACAGTATTAGTGATTACAAACATGGTACATAGCATATGACGCGTGGGGAAGTGGGGCGAAATTAGAATTTTAGCTGTGGTAGTATAGACTCTTAAGGGATTTTAAGTAAAAGAGCAGAATAACACAATATTAACGACTACTTGGTGTGTACTGCGTAGTGCGTAACGTATATTTAAGACGTAAGAGATGACAGGGGGAAACTGAAACAGAGGTTGTACAACATTTCATCTTTCTGATAACAGCTCAAAATAATTATAATCTCCAGTTGATAGCCATGCATTGCAAAGCAAATGGTAATCCATGGGGGGAAACCTACGTTCTGCAATAATTAGTAAGAAAGCTATGGACTTTTGATGGGATGTAAAGCAATACTCCTATTGACACAAGTAAATATATTCCAAAAACGTTTCATTTTCTGCAGTTACGAGTTGTTGTACTATTGAACAAATTTCAAATACCGTTAGTTAATTATGCCGACTCAAAACATACCAACAACTTAGAAACAATTTCAATATTTTTCTTAATTGCTTTGTACATATCACAATTTTTTGAACGTCAACAACATTTCGAACACTTCTTCAAACACAACAAAGCATTTCTTAAATATATAGAACCAGACATAAAAAGAGTCAAATACATTAACAATATTAAAATTAGAATTCCTTTACACTGTTATTTTTGACGTTATTAAATAAATTTCAATAAGAAAATACACTAAAACAAAAGCTGTAAGTTCGTCAAGCTAGTCAGCCTGAATAGAGAAATGGCTATGTTACTCGCCGCGCCCGAAAAGTGCTCACGCAAGAAAATCATTAGCCATAATGAAAAATTATTATTTCGTACTGTTACCGGTACGAATCCATACATATATAATAATAAACAATTCATATCTGAAATATTTTTTCTATTTACTACTCGTTTGGATCGTAAAAATCTGTTCTGGGAAAAACCAGTGCGGTCCTACATCCAAGCGGCAGAGTCCGAAATCAGAGAAGTTTCAGTAGTATTTTTCTCTGGCTTGTATATTATTTATGTATTTTCGATATTCCAGTATTGATAGAATCAGGCGTTACTTTGCGGAAATCCATTATAATAAAAATATTAATTTATTTGCAACCTTCCGCTAACTAAATACAATGATGTGTCTTACCTGAATTGAAGAGCACCTCCCGCCCTCCCTCAATTGCGTGCACTAATTCCGTCACCACTATCAGTCTCCCAACACCACTATTCCAGGAAAGACACACCATTGACGATAATACGACACGTGTTTCGCCTCTACACGAGGCATCCTCAGGTGATGTGGACATCACAAGACACACCATTGACGATAATACGAGACGTGTTTCGCCTCTTCACGAGGCATCCTCAGGTGTTGTAGACATGTAGAGATGTAGACATCACCTGAGGATGCCTCGTGTAGAGGCAAAACACGTGTCGTATTATTGTCAATGGTGTGTCTTTCCTGGAATAGTGGTGCTGGGACTAGTGGTGACGGAATTAATGCACGCAATTGAGGGAGGGCGGGATATGCTCTTCAATCCAGGTAAGACACATCATTGTATTTAGTTAGCGGAAGGTTGCAAATTAATTAATATTTTATTCAAATATCGTTATTTCCAATATTTTCTTTTTAAGGTATATTAGATTAACATTTTCAATTCATAATATGTTTATAATATAAAATAGGTTAGTATAAAAAAATTGTTGAAGGTAACTTAGACCAGTTTTCAGTAGGTAAAACTACCCAATTTGCTTATTTACAATTTAATTTATAAAAAGAAACATCATTCAAAAAAACATCTTTTTAAAAATCTGTAATTTTTAAAAAGATGTTTTTGAGATTTTTTAGATAAAAGATTGTTTAGATGTTCGTAGGTTGATTTAAACGGGGATCTCGTACTATATTTAGTAACAGCGTTACTTATAAAGTTGTAATCGTTGATTAGTGCATTCAAAGTAAGTATTAATTATCTTTATATCTGCCTCTTTCTGTTCGCATTTGGTAAATAGAGAGAGAGCTACTTTAAGCTTTTAGTCGTATTATATATTGCATACTATCGATTTGATGATTTCTGGATCTCGACAACAGCTCCACCTACTGGATCCTATTGTGAATCTAAACCATTCGAGGAATCGAACACTCACAAAAAAATTCATAAGAATCGGTCGAGCCAGTTTTCAGATTAAGCGAAACTAACGTACAGCAATTGATTTTTATACATAGAGATAAAAGGAATTGCATAATTTAATTAAAATGTAGGTACTTATAATTGTTTTTAACATTAGACTAACTTTATTTTTGATAATAATTTATTTATTAATTATTTATTATTATTAAAAAACATATACACATATAAACACACGCACACACACACATATCAGATAATTATTGTATAAATATAAAATTGCAGGACATCATCAAATCGTAACGGTGAATCACCTCGCGATGATGAAGTAGTTATCGTAGTACCAACCGATAGAGAGGACACACCACCGCGCCATGCTACAGACAGCTCAGGTAAACTGAAGTTTTACATACAATAAACCTAATTTATTGATGCAGAAATTTTAAACTTATTAGGTAAGGTGATGAGACTAACCACAATGTTCTTTCACTTGCTTAGAATTTTTTCTTATGTTATCAAGAGAACTTAGATAAAAATCTTATCTTTCTTAAATATGTATTATCAAGAGAGTTAAGATAAAAGTCCACAATTTGGCAGTTTAATTGTAAAATAGCTCCCAAAAAAAGTTTAAGATAATTTTGGATTTAGTTATTAATTTTTTTCTGTAAGATCAGGATCTCTAATAGAACAAAACGATAGAAAATGAATAGGATATTTCCTAATCATGTTATTTCATTTCGATTTTCATTCGAGTTGATTATTTTTATATCTTTTGTAACAAAATATTCTTATACAGGTTTTCCAATCTGTTGAGAAGTATTTACTACTAAAATGTGTAAAATTACGTGTTCATATTAATATAAAATTAAATAGCTTGAAGAGAAATTATAGATCATTTAAATTAACAGAAATTGATTATTGAACGAGATGCTCTATGTAAAATAGCGCTCTTTCTTAAAAAAAAACTAAATCCGTGAACTGCGAAACATCGATCAATGCTTGCAGCACCAAGACGATAGAAGAAACCATGTGATAAGTTTGGCATCCGTCCGTGAGTAGAAGCACAAAGAATTCCAACGTGTAGGCGTACTGTATTTAGAGTTTAACCTGCTTATTTTATCGTCATATACATATGGATCCTATATTGATTTATATTACTTGCTGTTTATTGCTCAACTAGATATATCTTCACAACAATTACATTTTGTACATTATGTTAAAACGTAGGTAGGCGTATATCTACGTCATAAGGATTGAAAAGTCACATTTAACGTTTTGAAATGTTGATTAACCAAGTGAACATCATTGCCATAAGTATAAATATGCGAATATTACAAAATTGCAGCATCATATGAAGAATATTCGTCGTCGACATCTCTCTGACCGCCATCTTGGGAGAGCCCCCTTCTTTATGGCCGGCCCCGGCTGCGTGAGTCCTAACCTTTCCCATATCGATGTGTGGAATGTGTATAATAGATCCTCTTTGTACCCCTCCTCTTGCTCCACTTAACTGTATAATGGTGTATTTAGAACTATTGCATTTCTCATTGTGTCTTTCAACCTATATTTACCAACTTTTACCTCATAAATTATACAATTTTAAGTTTATCGCCAGAAATTTATCATTAAGTATTTTTTGCTTTTTAATATAAGTACCTTACCTCAAAATATTACTTTATTGCATTCTATAATGTTAAATATAAAAGTATTGTTTTTGTGTTTATTGGGCACATAAGAACGTTATAAAAAAACTATAGTAGGTAAATTATTTTCATTTCATACAATCTTCCCATAACACTGCATTTTAACGCATGTCATTGTTATTTAGTGTTGTAGATTTTGCTATAGATTTGCATTTTAAGAAAATGCTAAAGAAGATAAACATTATAACAAACTAAATATAAACAACCTAAAATAAATTTAATAATTTATTGATATTGCATTGTGGTAAGCAAAAATAACCGTAGTGGCGGTTAAGAATATCCACAACCCCATATAATATCGTGGGTGTCGATGGAGTGACAGAAACCAGGCGTTGGCAGCGGCGTCTTTCTAATAACTACTAGAAAACAATCAAATATTGTTGCCAACTCGCCTGCCAAACATGGCAACTGGGGCAAATATCAAAAAATCACCTTTAAACTAGTGGAGGCCTATTCCCCTCACATTGCACTAGTTTCCAGTATTTTGCAGTGGACTTTGATAGGCTACGATAAAAAAATTATGAATGAAAGAAAAATGGAAAATAACACGTTATTTTAAACGAATTAAGATGTATAATAATAATAATTCCTAACCTTTTGCCTTTATAAAATAGAAGCCAACAAGATATTTTTAAACTGTTTCGTAATTTTTTTATCAACTCAGCTAAATATTCTATTTACACTATCGTAATAAACATAAAACACTAGCAAAAACACAAGGCATACCCGTGGGTCCAATTTAAATAACTATTAATTCTTGATGACAAACACCAACCTCGCCACAAAGCCGTCAACGTAAAGAGAAATAGCATTAATATCTCTTAAATCTTCTATTTTTATGTATGTAAAATTAATATACTACTGTAATAAACTTAATATAATAATGTATGTAGGCGTACGAAGATCATCTTCAGATTCACTCACGATGGATGGCGCAAATATGCGTGTGTTACAACATAAAATACAAGAAAATACAATAAGCAGATCTTTAGCAAATCGTCGCAAATGTATATGGTACGCTTCCCTAATGATGTTTTTCTCAAAAATCCTTTAAACAACAGCGGTTACCACGTTACCAGCCATACGACGTTTTGCTAGAGTAACACCTTTTTAGAGTAACCAGTAATTTATAGACGTGCCTATACAGCCAATCCTGACATACGATTGGCGGTATCTTCATTAATTCCTGTAACAAACACTATTAAATATTAATCACCACTTCTTCCGCTCGTCTATCCTGATATGAATAGGAACACTGTCCCTATCTTTTGACATTTACACACACATACGCAAGGCGTTTAACCTCATGTAAACTAAAACTAGATAAGGCGTCCTTTTGACTAGCCATCATCTCATATGACAACATGGACCGGACAACTGGCTCTCTACCCGTCATCTCATATTACGACACCTAACTGAATGATCGACAGCGTCCCTTCGATCAGACATCATCTCATATGACAACATGGACCGGACAATTGACCCTTTCCACTAAGCATACACAGACACACAGCTCTTTGTACAGCTTGCATGGCACTATTAGCATCGATAGAAGATATCCACTTAAACAACACAACATACTCTCGAGATAGTATATATTAACATTCTCAATCGATTGAGTATGGCCCGGAGATACTGTTAACTATACTCTGTTCGACCATACTAACTGGATCGGCCGGTGCATCTCTTCGACCAGTGTAACTCCAAAATGCATATGCCTGGACCAGATGAATGTGTTTTTTTTAACCAACCGTGCGATCTGGCCCCGTACGACATTGTCCCTTCGAGGAACTTCACACAAATCAAACCCTCAACATTAAACATTCATAAGCCTGGACCGGACGAATGTGACCTTTCAACCAGCCGTGTAGTATGGTATACAAATCCTTTCCCTCACACTAATTCAATTCAAACAAGCAATTTTGTCAATCACATAATACTCCGAACAAACTGTTACACTTACACACATAAAAAGTCCATTCATTCTCATAATTCATAGCATGTTAAAGTTAAACATTTCGCCGGTACATCGCTAAGCATTTCAAACTTTAAAAATGTACCCCATGTAAATCATATTTTGCATGAACATAAAACTGAGATAACAAATCCAGTAATAACTTCATCATGCATGATTGTTTTAGGAATTTACTCGATGAGGAATCATAAGCGAAGACCAGTTTCAGACGCTGTTTCTTTAACTCTGGTTTCTTTACTAAGGGACATGCCATTTTAGTAAACTTTTAAGATCGGTAAGACAATTAGCTGCAAGATCTTTTAAAGCGATTGTTAAAACCAAAGAATACTATAATACATACATAATAGAACGTTCCCCGTTCTGGTGGGCGGGGCCTGTGTAGCCACTAGCATGTCAATTCAGACCTATAAATGTCAACACAATTAATCGTTTCCAAGTTTTGTGTCAAGCGTCACTGCATGCAAATTATAATACATAAATTTAAATAAAGGAGACATATCCTACAACCAGTAAGTCGAAACTACTTATATTTTGTTAATATTAGAAACAAAAATAATGAAATATTGATGCATCAAAACATTAATCAAAAGTCTAGGATTTGTAAATTCTCCCAGTATGTCAACAAAGCGAATCGATTTTGTAGTAGTGATTGTACGACGTAATTTGCTTGTATGTGTGTTCCCGGTGACATCGATCCTCGTAGAAAATAAGGTTGACAGCCATTCTATTGTGTATTTAAAACCATTAACAAATGAAATCATTTTCCATCTAAGAGTTTATTTTGTGAAATAATTTTTACTAGGTACATTTACACCATCCCTTTATATCCGAGTTTGGATCGTCTAGGTTAAAATGTTGCATTGAATTTTTTACTCCCGGTTGCCATATATTACCTACGCATACATGCTCGTTGGTTAAGGGTACTCTACAAAACATACTTTGGATAATAATAATTACGGAGTAATAATTCTTTTAGTCATTCTTCCCGTCAAGATTTTCCGAAAAAAATAATTATGTATAGTGTGCCAAGACACTGAGAAATCACTTAAGTTTTCCAATTTCTTACACACAGGCTAGCTACAAACTGTTACCTATATCTTCATCACTTCTTGTGATGCGATCTACTGTAGAGACAACGACTATATCAGGTCGTTCGTAATTGACCAACAGTAGTCTCTACGAGACAAAGGCCTTCTACCACACCATCAGATTTTCATAGCTCCTGAATGACTCACAATTAAATTGCAGTTACAACTACGCACCAATGTGTACAAAACGACCAAATAGTAATAACAAAGGTATGAACTTAGGATATGAACGCTTGTAAATACCTCCGGCAACTTCTTCAATACTTAATTCTACTTCAACTAGATCAATTCAAATGAAACTTTACTCATTCGTTACGCAACAAATGTACTACACCTCATTTTATTTTGGACGAGCACTTATCTCTATGCTCAGTCATCTCCGTTACATCTCAACGACGACTAAACTAGACCTCTACCAGCACCATTAAAATAGGCTTGGCTACTTTACTTGTTACTACAAAAAAAATTTAAGCAATGTGTATGACAAATTTACTTTCCACGAGTATCAAATATCGGTCGGCAGCAGCGGTAATAATCCGCCCGCGGCGTCTAAGTTTTGGTCTCTTGTTCGTAACGCACAACGCTGCGGTGTGCGGTTCAAACACAGCGTCACGACGCAGCGGTTA